ATAATCCAGCAGCTAAAGTAGTATTGTACAAGAGCAGAAAGTAGCAATTGATCAAGCAACAGTTCACTCAAGTGACAACAAATTTCAGGTGTGACTGATATGACAAACGTTACAGATAACGTCTGTTCGGGATGTATGATTTATTTGAAGAGAATTTATATATATTTATGTAGACATATGTGTGTTAACAGAGATGATTAAAAAATCACCAAAGGCAAATGTGCGGAGGGAGCCCGTCCACGTGGAACACGGAAAATGTTAAATGGACTCAGACACAAGTGAATGTATATATGCATGCGCGCGTGTATAGTCGTGTACGAGCTAATGCGCCGTGGCGTGTGTGATGCATTTTTTTATCCGTCGACAAACGAACGGACAAACGTGACGCGGTCGCGCTAATCAAAATCCGATGCGGCAGCAACGACCACCGATTAAAGCGGTCTCTTCTGAAGCTTCCCGTCACGAATCCGCGAAGCTGCAGCGCGGTTGGTCGGTTTGACATAGGTCCGCGCGCTGGCTGGCCCTGTGCCCTATGTGTATACTTCGAATATACATATTTATACGCAGGGTTTGCGCGCTCGTGGTCCACGCTTTCCGTGCCCAACGTCGATCGTCCCGGAGCGACACGGACCACGGTCCTCCCTTTCTCTCCCCCTCTCTCGGTTACCGGTCCGTTTAAAATATGAAATGCGGTGACAGCTAAAATCTGCAGGAAGTTCGTACAATGCAGTCGAACTGCGCCGCGGGAGAGAAAACCGGTCAATTGGAAACGGGGTGACCGAGTTACGGGGCTCCCAACTACCACCCCCCGCGCCACGGCCGCGTTATCCCTCCGCATCCCTTGGCAACCTGGTGTATCGAGTTTCTTAGCGGAATCATCCACCGTTCCCTTTCCTTCCCTTCCCTTCCCTTCGCGATATACTGCCAGATCGTTGCCACGATGCGCCGTAAAGAAAAAGAGTCTTGATTCTCTGCGAGAACCGTGGCTGGCGACTGCCTGTAACAATCACCAGTGGGTAACCCAGCTCACGTTCACAGACGTGCAACCGTTTCTTCGCTAATGCCGCTTCCTGTTCACGTAAAGGAATTTCGATATACTGAACCGTCAGGTGAGCTGAGATCCGAGTAGGAGGCGTCGCAATAAAGTTTTTCGGTCGACGAGTCTGAGACATTACAAAAATATTTTATTCGTATGTCACGATAATAGTATTTGTTATCTATCAGATTCATTAATTTATTTAGCTCGTTTCTTTTCTTAGAAAATATATTTTCTTGTCGCTGTTTTAATGGGTACCATGAATTTCAAGTTCGCGCGAACAATAGTTTCGCTTCTCAGTCGTCTCAATAGTATTTTAATCAAAGAGACTATTAAATCATAAACTTTATATCTCAAATGTTGCCATTTTGTATCTCGCTTGATACAAAATGGCTTCTAAGACAAAATTCAAATATTGATTCTACCTAATGAGCACGCAGTATCTGAGTGTACAAACTAAGCCAAGTGCGGGTTTTCAATGGCACGCCGTCAAACATTGAAAAAGTTAGGAAAGCTGAAACTCAACTATATTTCCAGCTTCTTTAATTGCACCGTAATATATTCTATACACATTTTTATTCAATTAATATTAAACATATTTATTTAATTTGTTAAATATATTATATTAAATTAAATTATTAAATATTAATGAAATAATTACCACTGGATTACAATCTAAGGAAACAATCAAATACAGTAATAATAACTATTGGATAATGTGCTAAACTTTTTAGACAGACAGAAATATTTATATAGAGTAATTAACCAGAGTAATTAAATAGATTGCATACCGCCAAGATCGTAAAAAAGTATTTGAACATTGATAATTGCTTGTTGATATTATAAGATAAAAGCTTGATGTAGCATAATGGCGTAACGTCGATATAGGAATGGAAAGGATTAAAACGCACCGTCATGTGAAATACGTTTATCTATCTTGTTACAACGTCAATCAAAACATACAGCAATAAATCATCAGCGTACCATATCCCTCGGATCAAGCACCGAAAACTCCATACCACGTTGATAGCGCATATTATACATATAACAAATATAGGCGTCACGATATTATCTTCCAGTAAATGTAATAAATTTTCGTAACGCCGGCAGGTATTTTATATGCGAAATATTTATCGCGCGGCGAGATGTCCAAAATTAAATCGTTCGAGCCATCACAGAGTGACGTACAATAAAGAACTAACGCACGACCGGCCATCGCCACGAAAGATTCACAGTAAAATCGAATGGATATCGTTTGAATATATAGCATACTTGATCCTATTCGCTTCTTAAATTCACCACCCTTTCGTCGTCGTTGTCGTTGTAATCGTCGTCGTCGTCGTCGTCGTCGTCGTCGCCACCACCGCCATCGTCGTCGTCGTTTCTGACTTCCGTCTGGCGTACGTCGCGCGAGCTCTTATTAAAGGTGGCGATTTATCGCTAGTAATAACGGTGCGGTCTGGTGCTGCTTGGAAGCGAATGTCTCCCTGCCAAGGTTCTCTGGGAAGAGCAAGAGCGAGCTCATGGCGCGAAGAGGAAGAGGTCAGAGGGCAGAAACTGGAAAGTAAGGGTTTATTCGCGGCAACCCTATCCGCGCGCGAGAGGTGGATGATGCACCTCTTCTCTCTTCCTCCTCGGCAGTATGTTATCAACCGTGAGTTAAGCGTGCGTGTGTGTGTGTGTGTGTTCGCGCGCGCGCGACGAGGTAGATTAACAATTCCTGACATTTTAGTGGCGCTCCGGATGCGTTAACGCCACTTCAAGTACCGGAGTGCCCGACTGTAACGAGCTCCAGGATTGATTAACCGCCTCTGTCGAGCGACCCGCAACTACGGACTACGTGCTTCTCTAAGCAAACGAGACGACGGCTCGACGAAAGATCCTCGGAACTTATAATTACCGCTTGATTAATCGTCATTTTGACAGATAACTCGGAAACGGAGAGAATTTTTCACTGACTCGTCACCGTTACGCTCGGATCGCCTACCGTATGCATCGATTAATCTTCCTAAAATATTAGACTATGTAAATTAGCTGCCGTGCCTTTTCGGACAACTGATTTCCAGACGAATCGGTAGCTGTCAGTCACGCGTTAAAAAAAAAACCGAAAAAATAAAAAAACATTCATCACAATAAGAATATATGAGTCGTACTTGGATTTGATGATTCAAAGAACTTTGCAATAAATGCGCGAGGATTCAATTAATTCGATAAACGTTTTTTTATACTGATCTTTATAATACAAAACTAGAATCCACATGTAAGCTTGAAACAAAGTTTAGAAACACAGGAGATATACACCCGCCGAGAAACTTTTTCCAAAGTTAATCGATGCAGATATTTTATTCAGACTACGATCAAATAATTATTGACAGATATATTAATTGTAAGCTTTGAGTGGAATGGTATTTTGAAAAATATCTGAGCGAGGAACACAGCAGGTGTGGTAGATGGCAGGTGTTTTTCCCACGTCGATAATGATCGAAACGATGAATCGATCGAATCAGATTTGGACTACGCATAAACATCGATAGATGGAACAAGGAACATCTACTCAAAGGATTAAGAAGACGAATAAGCATTATTCATACCGTGTGAGCGCTTATCCTTATTCATCTCATGAATTAGTAAACACGATGAAGAGAAACTCTCGCTTGCGCGTATCGGACCATCCCTGCAACGAAGTTTACCAGAATATTAAGTCCAAACGATTCTCTAGTCGCCCATACTTGTCTCGCCATCAGAAGATAATATGTATCAATTTTCAGATTAATAAATTCGAAGGAATTGCAATTGTCTTAGAGATATACATTACAACATATTACGTTACGTTATTATATTGAAATGCAATATACATTTTAAAAAAGAAGCTAGAAGAGGATATTTTTCGGTGAAAGAAAGTAATCTCTAAATTTTAAAATTTTCCAAGATAACTTCCCAATATACTTTTCTAGATCGACAATAAAATCTGGTAGAGAACGTCGAACGTGTGTGTAATAATATCTATCTCGTTTCCTTCGACCTTTCCTAATGAAAGTTTCAAAAATTCCCAAAGAAGTAGAAGGGTTCAATATTCTTTCATTCGGAAACGCACAGATTTCTATCGCGGTTGTCGGTAATATTTAAAGGAAGAAGAAAATGATTCAGCGAGGAAAGCAGTTCGAGGAAGCCACTCGCGTCCTGGCTTCACAGAATCGTCGAAGCGTGCGACTGTAGGCTGGAAATAGATTACAAACGTAATATTTCAACCGTCGTAAATATTCCGCACTGTTGGTGTCGGCCCTTTCGTGCTGTCTTCTTGTTTCTTTTCCGCGTCCGTCTCGCGCTGATTGACAGTCTCGCGACGTGGTGATCTAATTGGGATAAAAAGAATTTTTGTACCAGGTGGCCCCTAATTGGTTACCCGTCATTAAGGGTGGTCTCGCGATCCTAATTATCTTAGCGTAAAGCTTGACACGTCAAGTAGCAGCACTTCTGAGACTTTCGCGAACTTTGGCACGTCGTTGAGATCGTCAAGCAGAAGTATAAGATGATTCATGTAGATATTAGGTACATATTTTTCATAATTTTAAAATTTCTTGAATTTTTTCAAATTAAATAAATAAATAGAAATAACCGTGAATATAATGAATGTGTTTATTAAATTTCTCGCATATATTTACATTGTAGATAATATTATACAATCTACATTGTCTTTAAAAGACAGTCAAAATTTCGATTAGCATAGATAATATTATAAACAGCATATTATCAACAGAATTCCTTTTCTTGGAATATATTTTGTAAAATATTACCAATACACAGATATGTATATATAACATACAAAGTGATATAATTAAGTATTACATCCATTAATTAATCTCAGTAGATTCATCGAAAATATTTCATAATGAAATATACCTACATATAAAAAGTTGATTTAAGTGTGAATATATGAGGAATGTATAAAAATCACAAACTTCTTGATTTCGTTTGACGATAACTTATATTATCGTAATTATTTAATTTACCTATATAACATTTCTTATGCAACAGGCGGAATTCATTTTTCTATAAAAAAAAAAAAATGTTTCCCTTCTAAGTTTTTAGTAAGAATTGTACAAACGTAGTCTCAATTTAAGTCTTCGTTTCTTGTTGCCGTTCCCGTTGTCCTTGTTGTGCGTCCTCGTCCCAGTTTTCGGCTTCAGCCTCCGGATAATTCCATGGTTGAATTTTGGCTGATCCGAAGGACGCAAATATCACGAAAGCGAGAACTTGGGCGACGATGGTAATCCAGAATGCAATTCTCCATCGCGCTATGGTGTGCTGTTAGAAGAAATTGGATATTAATATCAAAATATAGAACATCAATTTGAAAATGCTACTGTGTGACAGCTGTACTTTTTAAAGTAAGCTATCAAATTTAATATACCAAAATTATATATTTTAAACATTATAATAATAAAAAAATAACACAATATTAAAATTCTCATTTCAAAGATTTCGTGTTACAATAAAGTTGTCTTCGCAGTTGATTACGCAATTAAGATTCAGTGTCTTTCTTAGAGCGAATATCGGCTTAACTTTCTTATATCGGGTTAAAGTCGTTTCACTTTTCGTAAAACTTCAAGAAAGTGGAATCTCTGTGTATAACTTATTAAAAATTCAAGAAATTGGAGATCATGTCACGTTGCTCTTAATAGACTCTTTTTTCGTTTTCTTGTCTGATCATGCATTAAGTGTTCAACTCACTCCTTCCGCTACGAGAGCTCCAACTATCGGTGGCAGGATAAAAGCGGAAATAGTACCCGGAGTATTTGTAATACCCATGAGAATTCCTGCATAATTTGGTGCCAGATCGTTTTGATTACAAAGATGACCGACGAATATAGCACCACAGACTACTATACTCAAGGTTAGCAGCACAGTCGACGTCACACGAGCGCAACCAATGTACGCGATTATAACGAGGAAGATGCTAGGTGGGATAGTGCCTGGAAGAAAAAGAAATGCGCCAAACTATACATTACATATATCAGACACTTCTTTTCTGGACTAAACATATTTATTTTAACATAACATATAAATATTTTCTAGATATATAAATCTTAAAAAAACACTCAAAGACATGCATACAAATTTTATAGCGCATAAAATTCAATACGATGCAGCTAATTTATATAAATTATAATTTCATATATTGTGTAGAAATAATTTATGCATTGTCACTAAAAATAGAAACAAAAATTATAATGTCGCGTGTATTATTCAAAATCACGGCGGTTATGTAAATCAGGCAGAAAATTTACAAACAATACTTCATTCTTTTTCATTAATTAATATGTAAACTGTATAATTTAAGTTTAGTTCTTTAATTTATGTTATTACATCCGCTATTGCTACGAATTGCTGAGCAAAATAAGAGAGAAAAAGAGAGAATTGCTATCGAACTTTATTAATTACTTAAAACAGAATGTATACCGAATGAAGTGGTTATTAATGAAAATAATACAATTTTTTTTTCAATTTTTTTTATAAATATTAAAAAATTGTGATATTTACGGAACTATTTTCAATCTACTGTAAATACGACTTATATTTTTATATAAAATAAAAAGGACATATCTATAGAGCTATATTATTATGAATTTCAAATACATACTTATGAACACTGCTATTTTACGCGCAACTGTTTGAGACCAAATTCCTTTTTGCCGTCCCCAATCTAAAACTCGTCCGATTAATGGATTGGTGAAGGCGTTCACGAGATACGGTGTGCAAACGATAGCGGCATTCTGTAAAGTATTTCGGGAAAAATTTAGACAAAAACTTGAGTTCTGTTTCACGTAACTGTGCACACGGCATGCAGAATAAAATAATATTACTATATGTAAAATATTATTTTATCCGTAATATTCTGCTCTCTCTCGTAATACCTGTTGGATTAAATATAACTTAAAATACGTAAAATAATTATATATGACATAATGCAAGAAAAAATTAAATGTTATTACATATATGAGATGTATAAATAAGTTCCCGCGGTCAATTTTAGATAATATTAACAATGGTGTGTTTAAACGCAGCCAATTATTTTTCCATTAGTAAGGTTGACTAAACACTATAACTCGAAAGTTATGTAACAATGCTCAGTTAGACAATTAACATTTTCAATTTAATTGAAAATAAATGCTGAAAAAATACATATTTGTCATTGCATATCTTACTCTTTTTATCGCGATAGAACCACAATTAAAAAACCAGAATATTTTATCAGACTCATGAAGACAATTATTATGCCAGAAAGAATGTATCAAGATTGCTTTAAAAGATTTAAAAATAATTCCAATGTAAATAATAAAGCACGCTACGTATAGCATTCTTTATTTCTCTTTAGCCACGATATCTATATGCTACTTAAAAAAATAACAAAAAGCGATAAATTTGAAAAGCAAATATTTTGATTAGAATATTTTTATCAGTATTTTTATATTAATAGATGTATTTTTTAAAAATTGAGAATTTATTTACACATCTTAATACAATATATCTCCACTCACCGATGTAATATCATATCGCAATATCTTGTTCATATAAAGCGGCAGTTGGGTGAGCAAGAAATACCAACAAAAGTTGCCTAAGCAATTCGTAGCGATCAGAGCCAAAAATGGCACCGATGTAAATATACTTTTCCATGGAATCTTCATCTTTCTGGATCCAGGTGCTCGATGACCATACGAGTTCACGATAAACGATCTTTCATGCTCCGTTATGTACTTCTGATTTTCCGGACAACCGGCGAAAAAGAAATAAAAGACGACGCACCAGATTAACGGTGTCGTTCCATGGATGTAAAAGATAGCCTCCCAGCCCACGTAATGTAATATCAATCCCGAGGTAAGAATAGATATCACGGTGCCGAGCGACGTTCCAGCGTATATAATGCCGACCCATGTGCTTTTTTCCTCGTACACAACCCATGTTCCCAAAAGAACATTTACTATAGGAAGATTCGCTGCGCTCACAAAACCGGTCAAAAATCTAACAATGTATAGTACGTACAACTCCCTTGCCGCGATCGGTACCAATATTGTTAAGACTCCATTTGCCAGCACACATATTAACAATACTAACTTCGTGTCAAACCTGTATCCAATATATTTCATTATTACAATTTATAGATATACGTGAATAAATAAAATATTAAATAATTATATGACTGAATAACTGATCATGTTCTCTAATTCCCTAAATGCAAAAATTATCTGTCAGCGCGACGTTGATAGCATTAACGTGCATACCTTTACGCAGTATCTTTACAAACTCAAAGAATTACTTTATAACAATAATAATAATGATAATAATATGTATAAAAAAAAGGTTTGAATTATTAAAACACTTACCGATCCGCCAAATATCCCGATGGAAACATGCCGACAAGATATCCAGCAAAGTATATACTAATAACCAAACCTTGCTCGCTTGCTGTCCAATCGAATGGACCATCGATATCGGCATGTACAGGAACATCAAATTCCGGACACTCATCTGACCAATCCGGTATACCCGGCTTTTTTTTCACCATACCGATGATAGCCGTTGCGATATTAACTTTCAGACCATAAATAATCATGTTTGCTATGCACAGCATAATGGCGAACAAGTATCGTACGCGTATCTCTAAGGTCAAAATTATAATAGATATTTAGAATGATATATACTATAAAAATAAAATTTAATTATTTGTTTAACCTATAATGGAATCTAGTAAATTACAATTTGCTTATAATTTGTTATATAATATGTGAAAAAGTGAGAGAAAGTAAAGAGAAGTGATGTGGTGGGTGTATAAATATTATTTTTACACTACAAGGTGCCGATATTACTTAAAACACCTATTTTCACATATAAATTTATAATTATAAGTTAAATAAAATCTTCTACTTATAATATCGGACATTAAATGAGAATGATGACAAGGTAGTAAAATTTATCATTTAGAAATAAAAGAACACACACACACACACACACACACACACACACACACACACACACACACATACACAAAACATTATATATATTATATATATAAATATAACCTATCATGCACATAAACGTTTCGCAAAAGAGAAAGAAATTACTGCTTTAATTATTTTATTATTATAAATGTTAATAGAAGAGAAATTATTTCCTTACCCATCGTTCTGAATTTTCAATGTGACCTCGATTAATGAATCGATGACATTAATGACCATTACGTTTCAAATCGTTGCACCAGTGTCGCCGTTTTCGTCGTTTGTTTTCGTATCGATCACCAATTCGGTTTCGCTCGCTCGCACATTCAACCTCTAGATTACGACTATCGAATTATATCGTCGACGTTGAGACGGTACCCATGCACACCCGATACCCAGATTCCTCCTCCACAAATATCTTTCTACAGACTTACGTCTCGACGCTGAGCATTCCTACATTCGACATGAGATTATAGATCGCATAACAAGAAGCTCACTGTCACTTGTAAAGTCAAATACGGTTCGAGGTTTTACTGCCTTTCTCAATTCCGTTAATAAATATGTTGTCCCCTGTACCGATAACGCGCGCGGTTGCATATTAATAGATACATACAATATTGTCATGCAGGAAAACAATTTCGAAACATTCGTGTAAATCTTACGATATATTAAAACGAATATTTTCAGAATTATTCCTTTTGCATATATTATAATAATAATACCAGGTACAAGTTTAACTTGCTTTTAATGCCGCATTTAATTAAACAATGTCTTGTCTCTGATATCGATTCTAATTCCAATTTTAATACCAGATATTTGCTAAATATATTTGTTTGCTAAAAGCGAGATAACGTTCTTACACAAGTTTTCCGTGCCGCAATGCAATATTCTCTCTGTATAGACTGATGACATTCATTTTGAAAAATATTATTACGGCTGCGTTTCATTATTCACTGTTAATACTGAAAATCTATAGTGCACGTTATGTATACTGTAAATTTTCAATACTCACAATGTATATCGGAACACGGCCTATAAATGTTTTTGTTTAACTTATAAACTTCAATTTATAAAACTGATATCGTAATATTATGTCTATATTGTTTGATATCTATTCAATTTTTAAATCAATACACTCTCCTATCTATAAAGATTCTGCAATTTAGAAAAATATTGTTTTGAATAAAAATAAATTGAGATCTGCTAATTCAATACTTACGTCAAAATTTTTCTTTCCTTCTCTCTTTTCTTCCTTTTTCTTTTCTTTAAAATAACAAAAGAATTTATGGGTAAATCTATAAGTAACAGTTACAAAACACTTCGTATAAATAGTTTCATTTTACACGGCCATTTGATAAATTTTTATCATTAATAAAAAAAAAAGATGACAAACAACGTATGTACAAACGTATTAGAAAAATATGTTTGAATGATGTGTGCAGTCACTGGGACTAGATATAGATAACTCAATGTGTTAGTGACGTTACGAAAGACTGTGCGATACGAATTGCTCAACGGTCACACGAGCACTAAACTAAACTGTGGAAGCGGCTGCGTTTTAACTTTCAGTAATTTGCACATAAGTGGTGATTCCTTAATGTATAACAACATCACCTTATATTTGCTAAGTTATATATAGAATCTCACTTTAATTTTTTTTTATGTGTATTCTACACACATACGTTGCGATATAGTTTATAGACCTACTTAAATGGAATTATCATACAATCATTAAAAATTCAATAGACGAGGCTCGCTTACTACTAAATGTAGCTACTATATGAATAGTTAATGGAACGTAGTAAAAAGATTTAATTACTTGTACTTACTCATCTTGGTTGTGTAAAGTAATTATTTTCATTCTTAAAATCTCACATTTATTTTTTACAAACGATTCTTCGAAAACGGACGAGGTCATGGCGAGCAGTCATGGCGACAAGATCATTCTCTCTAAAACCGGTTTCGTCGCAGTGTGCGTTTATTCATGCTGTGCGTTTCTCCGACGATAATTAAAACCAAGCGAGCATTGATTACACAAGCACAGACGACAATTTCGTTTCCGTTAACGACTTGACGGAAAGGTTTCACTCGCGCGATATCCAATGTAAATGTCCCAGCTATTATCTCGGTAGGCTGCCAACATTGAAGTTCGAGTCGCCTCTCGCCGCGATACAGTGGCACACGATAGCATTCTTAACAGACATTCGTCGGTGAGACGCTTAATGTTTATGGGCTGAGGATAATGGGGTTTCCCTGGTGAGACCATGTCCAAACAGATGAGAAACGTTCCGCAGCATAGCCTGAGATCTCTGAGACTCCCCGCCGATCAGACCGTAGTCTTGAATATCTGTGCATTCAACATATAGTAACGCCCACCGAATTATATTCAACACACGTGTCATCTTTTTTCGTCGACCAAACCGAGATAAGCTAGGTAAATTATGCACGTAATAATAACAGCCACGATATTATCTTCCTATATGTCGATAAGAGTAAATATAAACGTGTTGATATAGATTATATTTTATTAGTATTTATAATATTTTTACAGCTTTTTATATAGCAAATGTAAAATTTATGTAAAAATCCACACTGGATATTTTGAAAATATGCATGTAATTTTCTGCCTTGAATATCAAGAATAATACATTTATTGTAATATTTAATGTATTATTATGCCTATATTTGTGAAAGATAGTCTGTCAGATGTGAATCGATATTTGCCATATATCATTCTGTGTAATAGAAAGAAGAAAAATAAAAACAAAGAGAGAGAGAGAGAGAGAGAGAGAGAGAAAGAGAGAGAATGCAAACGCAGATTAAAGCTATAAATAGTATTCAGATAAGTTCCCAGTTTTCAAAGATCCTATTTATCACACAATTTTGTTATATAAGCTATGCATTATCGAAACTTTGTATATCTAATTCATACAGTGCATGTATATTTAATTCATACATTAGCGTATGGCCACCGCAGATACATATAATAAATAGATTATTTATGTACCTAACATAGCAAATATTAATATGTTATTCGTATTACTGATATATGCACACTAAATGTTAAGACATTTCCACGTCTCATTCTTAATTAATAAATAAAAAATAAAAAATCAAAGTGACGCATATATCTGGTATATTTCATATTTAAAAGGTTTATTAATTTCAATTCAAGTTACAAACAGAGCAGACTGTATTTAAATGCTGCATGTGCGTTTCTATTAACGATAATGCGCCTATGTAGGTCAATTTACTGACGTCGCAATAATTTACGTAACGCTTATCGTGAAACAGTCGGAACAGCTTGTGTAAAACAAGTACTTTATAATTTCAACCTTACATACATTATATTTTTACACAATGTATCTTCTCCAATAATGGAGTTTTTTTACGCAACGTTATACCACGTCGTATATCATGCTGTCTTTTCGGTGTAAACCGCATACGTTTCTGCATCGTTCGTCGCCCGATGGCTAGTGGCGAACTCGGAACGGTGGACAATAACGATGCTACCGACCATCACAATATTTTTACCAGACCACGGTCTCTTTCGTGCGGTAAGCATGTGACAAGCGTGACGAAACGTTCGTAGAAATGAAACCGCGCACAAACGGAAGTGGTTGCCGCGACAGTCTCATGACGACAACGATGACGACAACGACGATGACGACGACGACAACGACATCGACGAAGCTTGGAGACGCCACGGAGTTGCCATCATCCTCGCGCCTCTTCTGGGCTTATTCGGCCCAGCGCACACCTGCATTCGTACCGGGGTGAATGTTCGCGCGCATACTTGCTACAGGAATATGGCAGGTTGAGATGGGAGAAGCGGAGAATCCACTCGAGAAAACGCAAAGCTTCGAGCATCGGTAAAAATGGATACGTCGCTGTCGCACTCGGGAAAGGGAGACAGAGGAAGAGGTAAAAAGACGAGAGAAATACGAAAGGGCGAAAAAAAATCAGTAGGTGCTCGAAACGTAGGACGTCTAAATGCATGACGTCTTGCACCGATTAAAGGACGTGAAAGGACACTTGGGTGTGATAGAACAATGGTGACGATCGCGGTGGTCGATTAACACAACGGCGCTTGAAAATCTCAAAACGAGATCGAACCGCGAAGGATTCAAGACACTTCAGTTACCGCCACTGCTTCGTATTGTCCAGGCATTTCGGGCCTTGCTGACTTTGTCGACAGAGTAAACACAACCCTTAGACCGCTACTCGAGACAGACCCGTCAAAGACCGGTATTCCTCGCCGGACGAACACCAATTAACTGCCCGCTGCAGGTTGAAGCAGGTTGACCGTGCTAACGAGCACAATGCCCTTTTAACGTTCTTTCATTTTCGTCTACTGTTTGGACCACCTACTACGAAAAGACGTGAAGCTGGTACGAAGCAAGGCGTTGTATTTGTTCCGGGTTGACCGATGTTATATTAAATTGTTTAAGGGTTCAAGTGTAATTGACATTTGTATGAAATCAATTTGCAAAAACGAATTGAAAAATGCCATGTTGAACTAGATAAATATGTATCATTGTCAAAAAATAAAATAAAAAAAAATATCGTAAGATAAAGAGACAAAGTTTCAACGGAATTAATTCTCTCCCTATCTTTGTTCTCCTTCTCTCATGAGGAAATTCAGATATTTGAAAAATGAACAAAATGTAAGAAACTGTGCTAATTTTCTTATGATTTCTCTACGTTTATATACTCTCTCGAAATGGATTTCTAATATTAAACAAAAATTCCTAACGTGCTTTTAATGACGTACTGATTTTATTGTAACCTTATGCAGTATAAAAACAAAACGATATTAAAATTAGATTAATTTTCGATTCTCTCCCTTCTATTCTGAGAGAAGAGTAACACATATAAATTTATCTCTAAAATTTTTGAAGTAAATTTTACTTTGAAAAGTAAAACCTCTTAAAGAAAATTGAATCATTCTATTTAAAGACTGGCTCAATTTTCATTCCTAGAGTAAACTTCAACTCCAAAAAATTTAAAGAGTAAGTTTACATATTTTTACGTTTAGAATAAATATTTACCCGATTGATTATTTCATCGTAGGCTTAAGAATTTTTCATTTAAACGCAAAATATTTCTCTCTTTCAACAATAAATATGATCGTTCCTATTCTACGATATATCGAAAACTAATAACATTGGATTCCGACAAATCTTTTCTATAGATGTTCCCACTCAGCCAACACCACGTAACAATAATATAACTTAATTAGTTATAATTTTTCACTCAACAATATAATTGTAATATAACATATAACAGTTATATTATTAAGTGGGAATTATAATTAACAATTATGATACTGTTAATTTGCTCAATATTTTTTTTCATTATATGACAGATAATAAGAAATAACATTGAAAAAAATTTAAAAAAAAATAACAATAGTTTCCAATTATTTCTCATATTAAGTGTCGGTACAAATTTTCGAAGAAATTATTTCGCGGGCAGGGTAATAATAGATATCCTAATAAATATCCGAGAATATGACTAATTTGCAAATAAGAGGAAACGATTTTCAAACAATGACACGGAGCGTGCGATCGGGGAGAAGTGAAGCGGGCCAGAAGGTAATGTATCATCTCGCGCGCTATCTTCCATAAAGTCTATACCGCCCGAAGCGTGCTGGAGCGCACGATGCGCGCGTTTTCCGCGTTGCATTTAAATGAAATGGACATGTTCCATCGCGCTCGAACGCACGAGGAACGAGCTTCTGCTGAGCGCACGCGCGGCGTAGATTGCTCGGCGAAATAAAAAAAAAAAAAAAAAAAAAGGGAAAAGAAATACACACAGGAGACGAAGAGGTGATATATGCGGACATTAGTTATACACGAGATGTATGAGGTTTTGCGGCGTCACTCTGCCACTGTCAGATTCCGGTGCGGTGCTCGTCCCGACATAATCGGGACGACCCATATTTCCCCGCCGCAATGCGTCAAGCTTCCCTTCGTGCGATTCCCCGTTTCGTACCTTCATTTTTCACTACCGCTCGTGATCTCTCCCGCGCCCAAATTCACCTTCCATGTCGTCGCGAGTGTCTACCGCTTCTCCATCCACCGTCGCGCCGCTTCGCGCGACGCCTCTCCATCTCCCTTCCATCTCACGTGGCACACGACCCGCCGGCGTCGCGACGATTGTACATCGCTTCCGGTGAAATTCTCCTCCTCGGTAGAATACGGGAGTCCCGATCGAGACGAATCGATTCGCGAAATGCCGCTGGCACGACTGGAACGGCAGTCAAAGCGTCGTAGTAAATATTGGCCGACCATTTTCTATCTATTTCCGATGCAACGTAGCACTATCTACTTTGATAAGCGAGCCGATACGTAAAGCTGAAATTGACGGTCACGCAGTAAATTTTCTCTACGAATGTGTAGAAAGAAACTATATATCCAAATATTAAAAAAAAAGTCTTTAAGACACATTTGCTGAATTCTTCTTTCACATTTCCATTTTAGATTCTATAGAAAGAAATATTTTTCTGATTTATTTAAATCTTGAGGATACAATTGAAAATTTTATTTGTTGAACCGACGTGATCCACCTTAATGGATATTATCGTGATTAAATACTATTATCGTATTTTTGGGATCATAATGAGACGTTACCGTGAATCTATGTAGAGGCTATAACTAGACCTGCTCTGGAACTTTTCCGGTGAAAGAATATTGGATTATATTAGAAAGGGAAGAGAGAAAGCACACCAG